GAGTTTTGCTCGATTACCTGGAATGAGTTACAGAGCTTCCAAAAATCTCTCCTAGCCCCCCCTCCAGTGAAAATTTCGAAGTTTTTTTAAGTTCTGCTCCATTACCTGAAATGAGGTACAGAGCTCCCTAGAATCTCCGCCAGCCCCCCTAGTGAAGATTTCGAGGCTTTTTTATGCTCATTTTATTCTCCAAGTTTTGCTCTATTTAGCTCCATGATCGGCGAGTTTTGCTCGATTACTTGGAATGAGTTACAGAGCTTCCAAAAATTTCTCCTAGCCTCCAGTGAAAATTTCGAATTTTTTTTAAGCTCATTTTATTCTCCAAGTTTTGCTCCATGATCGGCGAATTTTGCTCCATTACCTGAAATGAGGTACAGAGCTCCCAAGAATCTCCCCCAGCCCCCCTAGTGAAAATTTCGAAGATTTTTTATGCTCATTCTATTTTCCAAATTTTGCTCCATGATCGGCGAGTTTTACTTCATTACCTAGAATGAGCTACAGATCTCCCAAAAATCACTCCTAGCCCCGCCAGTGAAAATTTCGAAGTTTTTTCATGCTCATTTTATTCTCCAAGTTTTGTTCCATCTTGCTCCATGATCGGCGAGTTTACTGCGTACTGAGATTATTTCAGTCTTTTTCTGGTAGCACATGAAAGAAAAGGGTCAAAAATATATTTTCTTTAATTTTTTTCCAATTGGTTTTCAGCCGGATTGTCTTTAATAGGGAATTCTATTGGTAAATACATTTATTGGGCAAGTGTATTTGTAATTTTGTATCTCTTCCACTACTATGTAACAAACAATGATAGAAATATTTTGTTTTACTCTGGTTTCTGGTTTTTTGAATAGAATTCGATTATAGTGAGCTACAAAATAAATATACTCGGTGTCTAAATTTCACGGGGGGAGGGGGGAGGGGTTAGGAGAGATTCTTGATTCTTGGGACCTGTGTAGCTCATTCCAGGTAATGGAGCAAAATTCACCAATCATGGAGCAAAACTTTGAGAATAAAATGAGCATAAAATAACTTCCCAATTTTCACTGGGTGGGAGGTGGGGGTTGGAGAGATTTTTGGGAGCTCTGTAGCTCATTTCAGGTAATGGAGCAAAACTCGCCGATCATGAAGCAAAATGGAACCAAACTTGGAGAATAAAATGAGCATAAAAAAAAATTAGAAATCTTTACCGGGGGGGGGGGGGGGGAGGGCTAGCGTTAATTTGCCCTCCCCCCCCCCAATTATTAGGCCACATATATTTGGTGGAGCCAAATGGGAGCAAAATTATGAGATATGTTTAATTTACAAAAATTCAGTGGGGCGGCTTACTTAACTGACCCCATATTCAGCGTGTTAAGTGCGTGGACATTCTTTAGGCACACGGTGTACTTTATTCAAAGTTTTGAATAAAAGAATTAACGAGTTTATCAAACTCATAGTGGGAAAATGGTAAGACAATAAAAAAATACAACCTAAATACCTTATAACAGATTCATTTCAAAAATCGTGATTACCTACTACCTATTTGCACTGTCTTGACTACACCTCAATAACGTATTTGATGGGTACTTCACATTGTTTCCATGTCGAGCGTATCCGAAGTACCAAACAACGCTAGGAATATGGGACCACATTCCCAAAGTTCTAACACCAACTTTGCATACGCAGTATGTGCCCAATATTGGATCCCCTCCATTCGGCACAGGGGGAAGCAAAAATGATACAAAAACAAAATGTTTCGTTACTTGTGTGAACCGCGAAAATATTTTGGCCCTCATAAGAACTGGCTCAAATTCCTGAACTTGAAACAAAAATTCTTTGTTATCCTCACGGTGTATTGTATCCTGAATGTATGCAGGTGATAACTTTACTTGATATGTTCCGAAAGTTTTAGTTCTTAAATACTCAACAGTAAGAATAGGAAAGTACTATTTTCAAGTAAATCGACCCAAGGCTCACCACCCCGTATAAGTTGAAGGTTTCAATTTAATTTAATTTTTTGATCCAAGACTTTGAATAAACTACACGGACTGCCTAAAAAATGGCCACGCACTCACGTCCGATTCTCTTCTACCTAGAAGAGAATGGGGAACTAGACGACTAGACTGGAGAAGAAGCCGGACAGGTGCCTTAGCCCGCTTGTCCTCTATTGTTCATTATTCAATTCTTATTTTGTATTAAACTGATTGTTCAATTCAATTTGTGATTAGTTTGTGTGTCATAAGGAGCGATCACAGGTCAGTTTAATAATTGTTATTTTGTTTTTGAGAGTTCAAATTATACAAGTATTTTTTTTTTTCATTTTTATGTTTTTTTGTTTCTTTATAACATTTTTCATAGCATGTGCATTGTTCATGTATCTAACAAAAATCGTTCCATGCTGTAAACAATTCAGATAAAAAAGTAAATTAAAACCAAAGAAATTATGTGTTGTCTTTTGTGCTGGGATTTTAAATTCTAAGATTTAGAGCGTGCATTAGGGTCTTGTTGAATTTACTAACATTTTCCTACCCTGACGAGCGAATATCCTAGTAAACAAATTGGAAAATTAATCTAAAGATATTAGCTCAAAATAACAACTATAGCTGAGTAGCATCCCGTACGGGACCTCAGTACCTGCTGGTGAAACTGGCTAACTAACCAACAGTGGCTGACGAGCGAATATCCTAGCAAACCAATTGAAAAATCACTCTAGAGATATTAGCTCAAAATAACAAGTATAGCTGAGTAGTCTCCCGTAACCAGGGACCTCAGTACCTGCCGGAAACTAACTAACCAAAAACTCTTCAGTTTTGAATATAGGTCGTGTTGATTGAATGTAGTGTGTGGAATTAAAATTTTAGCACAAGCATAGGAGCGGTACCTAATTTAAACTTTTATCATTGACTTAAATTATTGAATAATGGCTCACAATTATCATTAAAATGACACAGAATGTTTTGGTTTTTGAGGAATGTTAGATCGAGGGTTTCTCTGCCATTCTCTTTCCCTTCGAAAATTCCAGGTCGAGAACGGTACGATTTACTTTAATAATAAAGTAGACGTTTCGCAAATTTTTTATTTCTTTTACATATCACAGCTTCCCTTAAATTTCCCTAATATTTGCCAATGTCGGGCGCATGTCCAGTAAGTAAAATTGAGTAGGTAAGTTTCCACAAGGTAGATCCTAGTTGTTTGTCATTTCGTTTTTTTCAGAAGATTTGTTGTTTAAAAGGTAATAAAAATTCACCGTTCAATCTTGCTGAACGAACCCGGGTATGTTATACTACACTAAGAATAGGGCAGGATTTCTAAAAGAATATGGAAGCTTAGCCACCCTTTATGGTATATTAGGCTTCCCTAGACTATTTATTTGCCAAACCGAAAACAAAAATCTCGATATGTAGCTTGCAGGGCACGCCAACATCGATAATTAAAACGCTTGTTTTAGGTTTTACTCAGACCTACTTTACGGGGCCACCCTGTATAGTTAGAGATTTGGTGCAATGATGAAAAGTGCTTATTTTTGCTAGTACTACAACATACAAAATTTTTAAAAAAATCGACCGGTCCCGAAAACCCATGAGATGTGTGCCATGTCCTTTGGGCGTGCCCTATTCGATGAGGAAAGCTCGGCACTCAGTAAGAATACATGTTTGTGCTGGTATAATTTGTAAATATCGAGTAGGACTTAGTTTTGCCACCTTTTCCAGCTATCAGGACGACCCAGAATTCTTCATCAGCAATTTTTCCAAACAGGTCGATTGTGTGAAGAGGTGAAATCTAATGATCAGCAAGATATTAGGCAGAGTTTGATTTTTTTTATGGGGATACTTGGAATCAGAAGCTTGCCTATGTAACAGAAGCAGACCACTAACATTGGGAACTCAAAAAAACTCATTAGAAATACAATTAGACGAATATTTACGAAAGGTTCACGAAAGGTTATTAAGTATTCCCTAATCGGTGGTTTGACAAAATAAAATACCTATATATTTTTTTTGGCTAAAATTTGGGGATGAGTTACCCACCTGTTGATGATACAATCATTACTCTGTAAAAAGACTGAAAACTACTCATTAAAGGAGTCATACCACCCAGGAAGAAGTGGATGAGGATCACAGTGCTAGAAATGACAATAAATTTAGAATATAGTAAAGGAGTCAGATTTAACTATAATTGAGATAACTTTTACTTTTTTTGGCTTCATCTTGCTGCAAAAATATCTCATTAACTGATATTATTAGTATTAGCTAAGCAGGCCTATTAATTAGACAAAATTCAGAAAATATCCCTTCAAAATTATTAGGAAAAACGAGATTTTTTTGTGCTCGCCAAGAATAGAAACAAAAGATATCAGTTCTCAAATTTTTTTATATGACCCAATTACCCATTGACTCCAAGAATCGTATTTGGCCAAACCGAGCATAATGTAATTAAAACGATGCTTCCCCACGAAACAATAATCAGGATATGTCAAATTTAAAACGCAGACTTTCTCGAAGAAAAATTACGCACATTTCAAGTAATTTAATTTTTGCCTTATGCTTTCTTCACTTAACCATGACTTGCATACACGATCAATGTCACGGACGAGGTACCTGCCTGTTCTGGTTTACATTTTATCACGAAGTTGCAGGTAACGACCTTTGGATTTACCAAAAAACATTAAAAAAAAAACGATTAAATTATCTAAGAAATGCTCCTAAAGCAAAAGAAAGTAAAACCTTGGCCAACGTAATCGTAGCGTGTACAAGTCTGATTAAAGTTCTAACTTTCTCGTTTTAGTTTTAGTCCTTTTTTAGAGCCAATGAAACTGAAAGTGCGAAAGATGCAATAGTTATTCCAAGAACTTTTATTTTATTTTCTTGTCTGATACTGATACCGTAATATTGTTTGTGAGAAAGCTTTGTTTTATTTTTGTAATTTAGACAAAACAAACTCTTACGATAATAAACAAAATTTATTAAATAAATATATTACAAAAAAAATAAATTAAATAACCTAATGAGTCTTTTCTTTCATCTTTATCTTTCTTTTTTGGGTTCATATGCCTGATAAGCCAGCTTAGCGGCTTCTTCTTTTTCATACGACCTTCCCCAGCCAGATCCATGGTGTCCAGAAATTACTTCAACATGCCCGGAATCGTGGTGTCCAGACTGGCCCGACAATAATTTTTTAAGTCCAATAATACCAGCAAGTACAAGAGCCAATTTGGAGATGATAAGGGCTTTTCCAGCTAGAAGAGCTAGAGCACCAAGTGCTAATGGAACTAGGGTTCCTCCAAGGATCAAAGGAAGGAGCATCATGGCGCCACCACCTTTTTTGCCTTTTTTGCCCCTTCCTTCTTCTTCGCTGAAACTGCGGGCAATGTCGGAGGAGGATGGCAATTTAATCTATAAGAATAAATAATTTTCATTATTTCTAAGCAATGAAAATTTGGGAGTTTAGCAAATGAACTGTTTTGTAAAAAGTTTAGATAATAGTAAAAACTGTACCTGTAAACTGTGGGATTCCAAGAAAGTTCCAACCTTACTAAAGATAAGTCCAGTTAGAGCTTCATCCTTTTCTCCTAAAGATCGAGGCAAGTTGGCCTCAATTTCGGCTTCAGTTTTTGGAGCTTCATTCTTAACATCGGCATTAGGATCCTTAACAAATGTAACACCATCTAAGATATTTAGGTTGTAGCTTCTTGACGCTCTATCAAGGGCGGCCAATAGTTTCAATTTCAGGCACGAGGATACATCCTGCGACGAACATTCCTGGTATATTTTAAACAAATATCTGAAGTCGGTCATGTACGAGTACGAATCGGCAGCTCGCGGAATTTCATTTTCGGTAATGGAGTTTTGGTCCGTGAAGCTAGTAGATCTAGCTAAGGCACTGACGATTAAAAGCCCGAAAAGCGCGATTTTTGCGAACATTTTTGACAATTCAGAGGCGGTTGACTGATATCAATTCACTTGCACTAGGTGGTTTTATACCGGCAAAGAGTGGCTTTGACATTGCGGCGTCGCCGGTCCCCTCCGGGGGATCTTTGCGTTGTTACTTACTGATGAAATTGTTCTGCGGGCGCAAGCGGATTGCACGAAGAGACGCGCAGTTCCGTGTATATGGACTTAAAGGTTTATTTATTTGATAATAGGTATAATACATTTGAACGAATGTATTTTTATTTTTTATTTTTTTTTGTCGGGATAATCAACGCTCAAGTTTCAAGTGCAGCTTTTGCAGTAAAAGTTCAGGTCTCATTTACAATTTTTTACATGTCCTCAAGAATAAGTTATCTTCGAAGTCATAAATAAAACATTAGGATTCACCTACCTACTAGATGTTTACTTTTTTGAAGAGCATAAGAAAATTTGGATAAAATGACCTCACTTTCGTATCCAAAATAGGAAACAATGGTAATGCGTGATAGTAAAAAAATGTGGAGACCCTAAAATGAACAGATATCATTTTTCAATAAAAAAAAAGAAACTACCTGGGACAGGAATAGGAGTAATTTTACCAGTGTGAAAAGATCCGCTTTTATTTATTTTAAAACTGTGGTAGAATAATTATATATTTTGACAAAAGTAATCACAATGACAATCTGCCTCAATCTTACTGGTTCTTCTAAGGCCACTTTAAATCAAAACAAAACACAACAGTTTTCCCCCCCTATGAACAGAAATCTTACCGATAAGAAGCATGTAATTTTTTTACCAAAAATGATCATAATCATTTTATTATCATTATTTTAAAATACAATGCATGATAAGTTTTACAATAATGTAAAAATTGTTTCCAAACTATCAGACTTCTGGTGTATCTTCACCAATTTTTACCCTCTGATTAACATGACGTTTCCATATTTTATTGCAACTATCCAATTTAATTAGGTAATGCAGTTTTCGAATTCTAAGTATTTATTTTACCAAATTCCCATTTAGTGTCACAATAATAACTTCTAACAGCAACTCTTTCCCCCTCTTTGAAATTTTTAACCTTTGGAGGTAGTAAATTTTCAAATTTTCCTAAGTTCTCAGGTTTCAACAAATCTGATCTTCTTCTAATTTCCCTGCCAAACATTAAATATGAAGGACTTAAACCTGTTATTGAATGAGGAGTTTTTGTATATTGCAACAAAAAATTAAAAATTTGTGTTTCACGATCTTTCTGTTGATCATGATTATCAACCATAGATTTAATTGATTTTTTAAAACTTTGTGCACATCTTTCTGCCAATCCGTTCGTAGAAGGATGGTAAGGAGCAATTAATTTATGAAGAATTCCATTAAATTTGTAGGATGTAAAAGTTTTACCATTATCGCTCTCTAAAGTTTCAGGTATTCCAAATGATGAAAATATTTTTTTTACATAAAATTATTGTAGATTCAGCAGTCATATCATCAACAGGATGGATTTCAGGCCACCTAGAAAATGCATCCACCAATACCAGATAATTTCTATTAAATAATGGTCCTAAAGAATCAATATGTATACTCGGTCAAATGGTTGTTTTGCCGATTCCCGTGGAAGAACTGGAACTAATTCTGGATTGTTTTTGTTTTTATTACTACCACTGCAATTTCTTTCCATATCATCAATATCGTTAGACACTTCTGGCCACCAGCAATAACTACGAGCTAAGGATTTCATCTTCGCAGAACCAAAATGAGCAATGTGTAATTCATTCATAATTTTTTTAAGCAATATTTTTGGTACAACTACTTGGCAACCTTTGAAAATGCATCCATTTTGCAAAGAAAATTCTAAAAAAGAATTTTAAAGCAATCTTTTCTATCTAAAGTTTTTCCCAATTTCAAAGCTACAGAAATCCTATTTAAAATAGGATCTTTTTCAGGTTCACTTGAAAGGTCTACCAAGCTTACCGGTACCTAATACATCCAACTGAGAAATTTGATAACAATTAACTTCATCACAAATATTTTTTTTTTTAGGATAGGATAGAGGTAATTTTGACATTGCGTCAGCATTAGCGTTACTTTTAAAATCTTTGTATTCAATGCTATAGTAAAAAGATTGTAGCAATAGTGCGTAATGTTGCATTCTCATTGTAGTGAATTTGGAAGAACTTTTATCTGGAGACAAAATATGTATAAGTGCGGCTTACTATCAGTAACCAATGTAAATGGTCTACCAAAAAGAAAATTATAGAATTTTCGATGCCAAAAAAATTGCATAAGCTTCTTTATCCAACTGAGTACATTTTTGTTGAGTTGTACTCAACGTTTGAGAAGCAAATTGAATGGGACGTTCTGAACCATCTAAAAATACATGAAAAATAACTGCTCCAATTGCATAAGAGCTTGCATCTGTAGCTAGTATTATTGGTACCTAGTGTAGGATCAAAATGTGTTAGAATTTGCTCGGACATAATTTGCTCTTTGATATTATCAAACGATTTTTGACACGGCTGAGACCAAACAAATGATACATTATTCTCAAGTAAATTATTAAGAGGATATAAGGTTTGACTCAAGTTCCGAAAAAATCTACCATATTAATTCACAAGACCAATAAAAGCTCGAACTTCAGTTTGGTTAGTAGGAATTTTCACGTTTTTGACTGCATCAATTTTCTTTTGAGATTTGTATATTCTGTTCCTATCAATTACACAACCACAATACTGAATTTTGGATTCCATGAACTGACATTTTTCTAAATTAACTTTGATATTATAGTCGAAGAAACGCTTAAAAATTTGTAAATGTGTTTCATCATGTTTATAAGCCGTAATTTTAATGTCATCCAGAAAAACTGACACATTCGGAATATCTTTAAGAATATTTTCAATTTCTCTTTGAAAAATTGAAGGAGCACTTGCAATACCAAACATTAAACGAGTAGATTTATATAAGCCTTTGTGTGTATTTAGAACTAAATATTTTTGATCATTTGAATCAACCCCCATTTATAAATAGGCTTGACTTGAATCTAACTTGGTAAATTTATCACCTCATGCCATGGATAAAAAGAGTTCATCAATGGTCGGTAGTGAATGCTGATCGACAAACATTCTTGGATTATGGTACTTCGAAAATCACCACAAATTAGAACTCTGCCATTAGATTTAACAACTGGAACAATAGGTGTAACATACTCAGAACTATTGACTTTTACAAGAACACTTGTTCTTCTGAAAATTCTAATTCTTTTTCTATTTTTGGCATTAACGCAAAAGGTACTTCTCTGGATTCGATAAAAATTGGTGAAGCATCAGATTTAATATTTAGTTAACTTGTATATTTTTAATTCTACCTATGTCATCTTTAAAAATTAAGTCATATTTTTTTAGTAGACTATCTAACTTAGATTTGCAGTTCGATTTATTTTCATTTGGTAAAACCTGAGAAACATCCGAAAGTATTATATTTAATTGTCTCGACCATTCACGACCAAGCAAAGGTGCCTTTTCATGATCGACAATGTACAAATTTAATTTTTTGGACAAATTTTTATATTGTACATTTACTTCAACAAACCTTAAGACCTGTATATTAGATTTGCAGAAACTCACTAGGTTTAAATATGTGTATTGTAAAATTGTTTTTGGAAACATTTTTTTAAAAATTGAATAACTCATCACTTACGTACGGCTGCTGCACCTGTATCAACTTTAGTTTCGAAAGAAATTTCAGTTTAACCTTGTTGCGAAACTTTAAATGTTCAACAGCCAAAATTTTCTCAACATTGCTTGTGGTTTCCTCAATTTGATGCCGATTATTATTTTTCATAGAAAAATTGGTAAGATGATGCCCTGGAATTTTACAAAAACCACAAACTACATGCTTTATATCATATCGATTTGCTAAATGTTGATCTGAACGGCATCTAAAACATAAAAGTTTTCTATTATTATAGTTTTGCTTAGAAGAACCAGAAGCATTTGAGTATGAAATATGAAATATTCTTCTTATTCTTCGTATTTTGATTCAGCTGGTTCAAAGCTGACGAATTTTTGGAGTGATGTAATTCCGCAGCATCTCTTGTAGACATTTCAATGCTTTTGGCAATCGCTAAAGCATTTTACAAAGTTAGTTCTCTGATTTGTAATAATCGACTCTGAATATCTTGAGAACGAAGACCAAAAACAAACTGATTTCGCAAGGCTTTCTGTAAATAGCTATCAAAATTGCATGTTGTAGCAAATTTTCGTAGAGTAGTTAAAAATTCTTGTACCGTTCCACCATCTTGTTGCTTTCTTTGTAAAAATCGAAAAATTTCAGCTATTTCTAATGGTACTGGATTGCAATGAAGTAGTAAAATGTCAACAATAGCTTGAAATGTCATGTCATCAGGTTTTCCAGGTGAAATTGTATCACAAAGTGTATTATAAGCATCTGATATTCCACACTAAATTCACTTTCTAAATGCATAAGCCAAGGACCAAATCATTTGTTGATATCATAGGATTCAATTGAAGATACTGTATGGACAGCATGTGTAGTAGAACTTGAACTGCTTGTAAGAGCTTGAACATCTTCAATCCTTGATTGTTAATTTCTTCTTCTTGAAGGCATTGTGGGTTCGTAGTTGCCTCATCGCCAATATTAATTTTAAAACTGTGGCAGAATAATTATATATTTTGACAAAAGTAATCACAATGACAATCTGTCTCAATCTTACTGGTTCTTCTAAGGCCACTTTAAATCAAACCAAAACACAACAGTTTTGAACCAGTTTTCAGAAACTTGAAAAAGAAAAACCCTTAGATATAATAGGTACCTACCTAGTTATAATACTTTTTTGAAAAATAGTTGTTAATAGTAATTATTGAATCCATAACAAACTAGAACAAATTTAAAAATATAAAGTAAAACCGAGCAGAACAAATAATTTCTACTATGAACTGAGGTTTGATAAAATTGTTATTTTGGATAAATTCTTCAAACTCATGTAGGCTACCCACAAAGTT